AGAAGGCATACTCGAACAACATCGACGTCATTCATCCGAGTAAAACCATCTTTCTTATTAAACAATTTCTTCATGTCGTCGACGTGTAAGTTCGGCTTCTCTATTGACTCATCAGGAAAAACCCTGGATAACCATGATGGGTGGGTGATATGACGAGTGTACCGGCCTACATCATCGTGTCCGAATCGTAGACCAGTGATTAAGCAGAACTCCTTCCGCCCAAAACAAGTATACGCCGGTGGAAAATGAAACCATATCTCTTCCTCACCACGTTGTATACTGTCGGGTAGATCGCTAGTCATGGTCTGAAGCCACAAATGGGTCAAATTAGCATCTCCACCTGGATGCTGTACTCTCAGCCATGGCCCGAAGCAGGTTTCCTCAAACAAATTTCTTTGTGCAGGTGAAAGCTTCGAAGCAATTATAGTGGCTAGGCTAACTTTATTCCTTAATGTCAATGAAGCCGAAAAAAATTTCTACAAAAATAATAAACATACCAAGTTAGATATACCAAAAACTACACTGTCAAGATATACCAAAAAACAATAAACATAAATAGTAGTTTATTCTTGAAACTAAAATTTTGCAACACTGTTTTGTCTTTTGGTTGAAATGACTATCGCAACGAGAGAATCGCAACGCGAAATGACTATCGCAACGAGAGAATCGCAACGCGAAATGAAAATCGCAATGCGATTTTGGTTTCGCGTTGCGATTTTTATTTCGCGTTGCGATTCTCTTGTTGCGATAGTTATTTCCGCGTTGCGATTTTCATTCTCGAAACTATTCTTCTTCTGCATTACTTCAACCAAAAGACAAAACAAAGACAAATACTAACTTCACAGGCTAAACAGTTTAGCAGTATTGGCAGCAATCGAATGAATTTAATAAGAAATCTAAGTGAAATGGTTAATCTATTATTGAAATTACCAGTAAACTTATCATCAATCTCAATATGAAAAACCTAAAATAATGCAAAAATTTCAAAATAAAAATAAAAAAAACTAACCCTCGGAGGTTGATTTTCCATTTCTGAATGATTGTGAGGGATTTTTGACTGTGAATGGTTGTGAGGGATTTCGCCGGCGATGGGGACGGAAATCTTCGGAGATGGGGACGGGTTTCGCCGTAGAGAGTGAGAGATGGAGATGGGAATGAGTGTTGTGATTTTAGGTTTGAGGTTATGAGTTGCGATTACTGTGGACGGTTCAGTTTCCGATTTATTAAGAAAAAATCGTGTTTGGAATTTGAAAAAAAAAATACGCGTTAATACGAATGGCGCTATGTAAATCACATTGCGATAGTAAGATTCGCATTGCGATTTACGTATTCGCATTGCGATTTTCCTAATTCGCATTGCGATTTACTTAATCGCGTTGCGATTTACGTATTCGCATTGCAAATTATGAAAATCGCAACGCGAATACGTAAATCGCAATGCGAATTAGGAAAATTGCATTGCGATAGTCAGTATCGCATTGCGATTTTCCAAATTCGCATTGCGATTTACTTATTCGCATTGCGAATTGGGAAAATCGCAACGCGAAATTGGAAAATCGCATTGCGATAGTCATAATCGCGTTGCGAATATGGAAACTGATTTGCGATAATGGAGATCGCGTTGCGAATTAGCGATCGCATTGCGATTTTGTTGGTCATTTTGGCAAATCCGGAAAAAGTTGGTTAAAATCGTATATTATATGAGATTTTTGGTCACTGATGTTATTTTCTCTTTTTTATCTGCCCCTAAATGATCCTTCAGACCGATCCAGCGAACAACATATTTTTTTTAACTTTTGGTTTGTCGAGATTTGTACCCCCTACCTTGAAAATGTTGAGTAGCACCTTGAGTTTGAGGTCAATGTCATAATAACATAAAGAGTAAATTACATGTTTAATATCTAAAATATTATTTTATTCTTTTTTAATATCTAGATTTTATATTTTTTTAAAATCATACTTAACGTCTAGATTTTAATTTGATATTCTGTTGTTAAAAAATTAGGGCAAAAAGGCACTCAAGGTATATGTACATTAAAAGAAAAATCAATTTAGTACTCATCTTTTTTTTTTTCAGTTCAATGTGGTCCTTCAACTTGCAAAAAGAACCTAATATATCCCTTTTACCAACGGTTTCCGTCGTTGACTTACAATTCCGTTATTTTTTGTTGATGTAGCACGCCAATGCGACCCTCGTCATATTTTTCTCTCAAAGTGGCCCTCCAACTAAAAAAAAACTCAATGCAACCCTTTGATTGTCTGTTTAATGTTGTTATAAACGAGAAAATTACATCATTCATCATTTATCATTCAAGTATCTTTTTTTTCTCTCATTTTAATCACTAAACCTTAAAAAATTCAATTTAATCACTCTCATATTTTAGTTATCATGACTTATTTTATTAATATTTATATATGATGTGATATTTATTATTTTTATTTTATTAATATGTGATTAAATTAATATTAAATAAATTAAAATTTCAAAACTGCTCCTATTTTCCGTAGTTTTGCAAAATAACCAACTAACAATCTTCAACCAATGTTTTTGCTTCGTGATAACAGGTATAGGCATAAGTCTTATTATGTCTTCTCTCTTGTGTTCCTCATGGGTGTATGTATTTGGGGCTCAAGCTAAGAAAGTTCACTAAACTGAAACACCAAAACTTTCGGCGAAATGGTGGAATCTTGTTGCGTGAACACCTTTTCAAGTACGGCGAAACAGCTAAAATCTTCACAGTCGGACAACTCAAGAAAGCCACCAACTACCACAAAAGCAGAACCCTTGGTATCCCTTCTTTGGCACTAATTTCTTAATCATATGCCTTTTAATTCTTCCACTCCGGCTAAGCTCGCTCTTTTCCGTTGTCTCCATCTCATCTACTTCTATTTCCGCTTCACCTGCGCAAATGGATTCCGATTCAACAATGTGAATCTCCTGGACGAAATCATCTTCCAAATCAATTAACTCAGTAAAATCAGGGAGAACAGGCGCTTGTTGTGCTGATGGTGTTTTTCTCTTAAAACCCAACAAACCCTTTCCGATCCAAGAACCCAACAAAATGGTGCAAGATTCCGGTGTCGAGAAACCAAAAACAGTAACCCAACAAACTCTAATAGCAATAGCGAGAATGCAGCCATCATGATCAGACGAGAAAGAGAAAGTGAGAGGGGTGGCAAAAGGTTAACTGGGGTTGTAATTTAGGGTTTTCCCAAATACTTTTTTGATTTAAATATAATTTTGAAATTTTAATTTGATCAATATTATTTTAATCATATATTAATAAAATAATATTAAATGCCATGTCATACATAAATAATAATAATAAAATAAGTTATGGTGAATAAAAAAATGAGTAACTCAAAATTCAGTGATTAAATTGAATTTTTTTAAAGTTTAGTGACCAAAATAAAAGAGAGAAGATAGTTAAAATGATAAATTATGTAATTTACCCAATTTCTAAGTTAACGCGCCACATCAACTAAAAGTAACAGTGTCGTTGGTCAACGACGGAAAACGTTGGTCAAAGGGTCACATTAGGTCATTTTTCGAGTTGGAAGATCATATTGATCGAGAAAAAATGACGAGGGCCAAATTGGTTTTTTTAAGTTCAAGGACCTCGGGTGCCCTTTTGCCAAAAATTAATAAAATTACTGACGTGACATTTTTTCAATGATGACTTGGCATTACCTTACATAACACATTAACGTCACCATTAAGTTTTTAACATGTACTAAAATAAAACAACAACTAAACGTTGGATATGATTTTAAAAGAAAATAAAGCTTAAATACCAAAATGGAGTAAAAATAATAGCTTAAACACTAAATGTGTAGTTTACCCTAACATAAATCAGGGAATCAATTATTCTGTACTATCCTACAATATATGCATATGCTTCCCAACTGTAGACCAAACACACATGATTCCCTCCACAGCTAAAACTTCCCTTTTGATTATGAATATGTTCTTAAATTGTAAGAATAAAACAGGGTTTTTCTTCCATTTGCTTACTAAACATAGTTGCATTCGATTTTGATTGTTACATTTTGGCAGTATCTAGAACTCAAGTGTTGCTTACTCTCCAACATGTGGCCTCTCATTTCCCCCATTAAAATTGCAGGTAAAAGTGTTCCGAATTCAGTTTAGGTCCGTTTTCTCATTTCTTTTTCTTCTTTTATCTCAATACGTGCCAGCAGCAATAAAGAAGAATGAACAAAAGTTCAAGGAGATTGATGATTGGATCCACAGCGCCTACCAGAACTTATAATGAACGTAGAGGATGCAAATACAAATGTACAGCTCAGCAAGTTCCAGTTGAAGGAAACGACCCGATCAATAGTGACTATCACTACAAATGTGTTTGCCATAGGCCATAAATCAACTAAGTTGTAAGTTCCCAGTTTGACTGGACAAATGTGTTTGCATGGAAGTGAACATATACCAGCCTACCCGTTCCAATTTTTCCAGAGGCTAAGCATGGATGTGATGGCGATCTCCAGAGCATCACGGGAAGAATTGTCGCTTTGGAGCAATCTCACTGCCTATATGTTTTTCTCCCTCCACATAAATATGGAAAACAAAAGAATTGGTAAAACTCAATGTCTGTAAGGTCTGTGTAAACGTAGCGAACCGACCTAGTAAAGTTTGAAAACCTAGTCATACCCTTCGGAGTAATCTCAATGCCTCAGGTGTACTAAGTTTTGCTTATTATATAACTTTATTTGCTTGCGCAAAGCTTTCTTAGCATAGGATAAGGGTGGCAAATCATGAAAACAATTTTCATCAGAGTAGGGTTCTGGAGGAACTAAAACCACATCGACTCGAACCTACCTATTCTTACTTAATGGGATTGGAGAGGTTGAAGAAGATGGTAGTACAATACAAGTTCATAAATTTTGCCTCCGAAAAAGGCGCACCAAAACTGTGGCATGATTGACGATAATTGCCTGGTTACTTGAACCAACATCAGTTTCTATGAAGCAAAAGTATTCAACCTATCATATATGATGATGCAGCTATAATCAAATTAGAGAAAAAAATATCAAAGTTATGATAAGCATGATCGAATCATTAACCATTACAGTAATCGTAGCCGACTGGCCCAACTCTGTCCTATAATCGAACTTGGGAATCTTACATTGAGGAAGGTTGAATAACAAGAAGAGGTTTCCTTCTACGCCAACTTTCTCATTAAAACTGGGAACTCGATATGGAATCAATACCATCGAAACAGGAAGTAGCTTACAACCTCATTCTGGATCAGGTGAGCCTCCCGGGACCAGCTGCAATGTACACAAAAGAATTATCATGAGAAATTTCGATGCTGAAATTCATCGTAGTTCTTTATGTCGGGCAACATTTGGTTTCCCCTATTCAAATGGCTACTTTTAGCACGCTTAATCATATACTGTAATCCCCAATAAATATATGCCAATCCCAGGTAAAGCCTAGTCCTAAGCAGAAGTGCATTAACTAAATCAGGAACCATTAAATCTTACAATGGCAATGTTGTTTCCATTAAACAGAATTTGATCAAGCTTTGTGAGCCGTCTTCCTTCAGAAGTGATCTCACTGTGATATGCAACGAAACATAAAAAGCAATCAAGATCAACAAAAAATAGGGACAAACATTCTCCAATTACTTATACACGCATACAATATAAGCATGGGACAGATATGTTGCAAAGCGAAAAGAGTCAATCGCAAGTACACATCTTATCATATATCAATATTCTTTTCAGGCATGTGAGTAAAAAGAATCAAACAACTTGTATTTCTCAGAAGAAAAAAACCCTTCACATGATAAAAGAAATGTGAAGACGAACAATCAAGTGATGAATATTTGGAAACAATGTAAAAAATACAAGTGTAGTCGGCTAAGTGAACAGAAACCCAGCCTAAACGAACTTTTGGTCTACATATATTGCTAGTTCTTAAATGTTCCTTGTGTAATGACGATTCAAAGTTATCACTTATTAAAAGTTTGGTGAGAAACGTGAACTCCAATTGAAGATGTCACTTTTGTGAAGAAATAGTTCTATACCACACTCCATCAAAACAAACTTATAAGCCATCTCAGTATTTCCGGTTTGGTTCCGGGCTCTAAATTATCATATATTTTATATTTTTTTATATTTTCTATTGATAATTTACTTTTGTCCATCCTAAAATATAGGCAACGTGGCTAACATCCATAAATCAAAACCCCAAATTGAAATCTTTTCCATAACTTTACTAACCCTATTCTACATAAAACCCTAACATACAAAAGGAAACTCGAAACTTTGCAGGGACAGTTTAAGCCGATATATAATATATAACCTATATCCACAGATTCGAAAAGAGAAAAAGGAGAAATTTACTATTCAGTAACATCTTCAAGGACCATGTTAACGTAGACATCAAGGCCTCTAAGAGTACCCACGAGCTCCTTGTCACCTTTCATTATCACCCATATTTTGGACCCTATGCACCTGTCTATCAACTCTGAGAAATCAAACACACATCAGCATTTAAAACGACTTTCTCGAGAAAGTGAAGGAAAGCAAAAAGAAGAATACCTGATGGAAGATGCTGCGAGGGATTGTTTGCCATTGCTTTGGAGAGTTCACTCAAAAAGTAAAGCTCCTAATTCCTTTGAATTCAACTTTTTTTGGGTTTAAAAAAACCCAAACTTTTTTCGTATTTATAAAGGATGCACAATCCCTTTTAATGACATGTCGAGAGGAAATGAGTTTATAGAGTGTTGAGGGTAATCTATCTACCCAATTGGACTTCAAAACTCTCAACCCAGCACTGCAAGGCCATTTACCAACCTGTAATATTATTTAGGGTACCACACAAATTGCCATTAATATTTTAATAATTTTTAGTTTCCCCTTTTGAAGTTTTGAAACTAACATATTGGTCACTAACAACCGGTAATGTGGGTGACGGAAAGCTTATCTGGCCGTTAATTGCTTACTTGGCAGCGTTGACCGCCCGTTGGACTCCATGTTGGACTCCTTCTGCAAAAAAATACTTTACAAGTGAAGATGGAAGATTCCGTGAACGTCAATCCCCTGGGTTGTCATATATGTTCCATTTTTCTCCTATATTTGTACAAAGCTCCGGCCGAGAGTGGTTTTTCTGATTTCATGGTCGATTTCCCCATGAAAGGAAACCCAACTGCCCCTTCTCTCATGTTCCATGTAAGTCACTGAGACTCCCATTGCCACCGTGGCTGAAGCCCAACTCATCGAGGGAAGCCATTGTTAAACCTGAAACCGAACTTCCCTGGGACAAAGGCTGCAAGTTTAACATATTAGAAGCTTCAACTAGAGGAGTGATATTCAATAATGGAGTTGCAGTTAGATGAACTGTTCTAGCTGAGGAATGTAAAAGTTCCAAGTGACTGGATCCGAAAAGATCGAGCCTTCGAGGAAACGATGACGAGCTCCAAAATGGTGGTGTGAGGATTACAGTGAACTCGTGAACCATGGCTCCAAAATTCGTCAGGTCAGTGGTGAGAAGGGTGCTTTCCTTGATGCCCCCGTTCACTTCTAGGGGTTCTTGATAACACCATTAATGTCGTGAACCGATTTTGTTTGCATCGATTTTCGATGATGAGCATGGAAATGAAACTTGGTTGAGTCCTTGGCACCCAACATGGACTGGCTTGGTGAAGGTTGAAACAAAGTCAGTGGGTTTAAAAATGGTGGGACCGAGTCAAAGAGAGAATCGAACTCATTATCACCAGCACGAGAGATTCAAATAGCATAACGAAAACGTTATAGCGGCCACTATTTCACATTAGTACTATCATTTGAAACCGACAACAACAATAACAACAAAACCTAATTCCCATATGCAATGGGGTAAAGGGAGGTAGGGTAGTAGGTTGCCCTCGACGTCAGGTTGAGAGTAACTTCCGTGGAAGACCTCCGGCAGTCAGAAAATCAAAAATATAAATAAAAATGCAATGCATATATAAATAAATACATAAATACATAGTTGAACAATATTCATATGTAGTCATTAATATGCGCTTGAAACCGAGATTGATGAAATTAACGGTAAGTAACGGATTCACATCAATAAAAGTCTGTCACGCCCGTAATTTAATAGGTAATAGTGTACAACGCTGATAATGGGAAGCTATTACTGTTGTCCACGTTATTGTGAAACAAAAATAAAAAATTGAAATTATCACCCAAAAAATGAAAGAAATATATTCCTATGGAAAAGTAAAAACCCAGCAAAAATTAATTAAAAAAGGTAAAATATAAAAAAAATCCAAAACATGTACTACAGTACAAAAGAAAAACCAATCTAAAGTTCAAACTCAATTTAAATGACATTGAATTGAATCCAGCAACAAAATTTCAAAAAATGCATTTAAAAAAAATCCTCTCTTGAACTCTAAAAAAACAAAAAATAGAGCATATCAAGAGTCAATACTCACCAAAGATTAAATCGGGAAAGGGATAAGCCGGCAAAACAAATTTGTTTTGAGAGAAATCTTACGTGCGTTTGTCGAGCTTCACCACCGATGAAGAAGTTAAGCAGTAATGACCAATGGGCTTCCATTTGAGAAGGTAAAATATATTATTCTTAAATCTAATTTTGTAGAAGATGAAACTTGAAAGATTCTTTTTTTTTTTGTAAAAAAAAAAGATGAAAGGTCGGGAAGTTGAGGAGAAAATTAAAGCTTCTAGAGCTTTATTAACTCTTAAAACTTTATGAGTTTTGTGGGTGTGTTCCGTGTTCCACTCCATTTTTTTTATTTCTTTAAATAATTTTTAAAATATAATTTTAAAGGATATATTAATTTAACACCCCTCCCACCTTTTATAATTTATAATTTAATGCTTAGTTTAAAATGAAAACTTTAATTTTTATTTAATTTAGTCCTAATTTCAGTAATTTAAATTTGTACCATTTAAATTTTACACTTTTATTTTAATTATATTTAATTTAGTCATTTTGTGTTCTTTAAATTTATTCAAATTTCATTCAACGTTTCAACCTTCATTTTTCGTATTTAATTATATTTTTATTATCATGAATAGTGTAATTAAATAATAATTCAAGTTTAAAAATACATTAGATTTTTTTTTAACTTTATGTATATACAAATTTCAGTTTTTATTGAAATTGAAGCATGCCACCATGTACTGAAAAGTTTCCGACTGAAGGATTAGAATGTGCACCCGAGTAAAGATGTAGGTTGGCACTTTGGTGATCCAGTTCCAAATACGAAAGAAAATGTTGTATGTAAACTTTGTGGCAAAGTTACGAAAGGAGGAATAACATGGTTTAAAGGGCGCATTGCTCATAAAACCAATGAAGTTACATCATGCCCTAATGTCACTGGTATGTGATAGTGATACTTTATAATTATTTTTTGACACAGGTCATTTATAATTATATTAAATGTTAACAATAAAGATTATACGTAATTAATAGTGTGAATTATATTTATTTGATTACATGTATCATTAGATAAAGTATTATGAAATTACTTAAAGAAGTCAAGGAAAAGAAAATGCACAAAAAGGAGGACAAATAAATTCTTATCACGATTAAGGGAAGAGATTGATGAATTCATAGATGATGTTTCCGCTATAAGACAAGCCACTCTAAAAAGTATCTAATCACAACACAAGTGGCATAGAAGAGAAGAATTCAGATGAAGTACGGGTGGTTGGGGTAATGTTTATGAAGAAAGACGATATTCTTCTCATGGATCATCTGAAATATATCATGGAAAAGATCCATCCCAAGTGAGACTGAATTTACTTTAAAGGGAACTATACTTGAATTGGTTAAGAGAAAAAACTCAAGATAGCCAAAGGTTAGCGAGTTTATTTTAAAGACATTGCGTAAAAAGATAGGTGAAACGGTCTCGAAATTTTAATATAAGATCGATTTCCTTTCCAATTAGCAAGTTCGCCTTGGTTGTATAACTTAATTGAAGTATCAATGAAATTTGGACAATGTGTAAAGCTCCCAACACCTTATAAGATTTTAGATGTGTATTTGATATCGAAGTATGAACAAGTTCGTAAATGGGTAAATAGTCTGAAGACACATTGGAAACAATTGGGTGTAACCCTGATGTATGATGGTTGGACTAGTAGTTTAAATCGTATGCACATCATCAACTTCCTTGTTTATTATAGTAAAAGAACCATATTTTTGGAAATCTGTGGATATCTTGAGCGTTTATAGTAGAGATGTTGAATTCTACTACAATTTTTTAGATAAAATTGTTGAAGAAATTGAGGAAAAATACATTATCCAAATAGTGGCTGACAATGAGACAACAATGAAAGCCGCTGGGAAAAGATTAATGTTGAAAAGAAACCATCTTTATTGGACCTAATGTGCAACCCACTACTTAGAGTCATGCCTTGCTTCATATATAATTACATCTGGACCTTTGATTTGATGAAGAAGTATACTTACGTTAAGCAAATTCTTCGCCCTGCTCTTACTCAATTTGCTACTCATTTCATACAACTTGAGGAGATAACATGACAAAAACAAGGTTTGAGAAATGTTTAACTCAAAGGTTAGTATTTTATAATTAGTTAATACAATTACCCAAATAAGTTAATTGTGTTATTGATTTTTTAATAAAAATTTAGGAATTCAAAGAATTAAAATGGGGACAACAAAAATCAGGGTTATAAAGCCAAAAAAATTGTTTTGGGAATTTTTTTTGGAAAAAAACCGTTGGCATAAAAAAAGTTTTTGAACCCCTAGTCAAAGTGTTAATGCTTGTGGATGGTGATGAAAAACCAACAATGAGCTTTATTTATGATGCCATTGATATAGTTAAACGAGAAATTAAGGAAACTTATCAATACTCCACCGAGTATGAAAGAATTATTGATAATAGATAGAATGTTATACATTTTGACTTGCATTCAGTTGGTAAGATAAAATATTTCATATATTCAAGAGTTATTTTTTATTTTATTATTTTAAGTTTTAGAATTTATATTATTATCACTTGAGCATATTCTTATAAATTATGATTATGTTATTTCCTCAATTCTCAATTTCAATATGGGGTGGAGCACTATGAGAATGTATTGGCAGAAATATTCGAAGGTACAAGATCGGTGATTGAATGATTAGAACCTTCTATCAATAATCACATCAGAATGGTTAAGTTAGATTCAAGTGCTATCATTTGTAACTTAGTTAAATAATTTGAAATTGAATTATTTTTCTCATTTTTATTCAAACGTTTATTCATGTAGTTGTTACTATTTCAAAGTAAACACGAGACATTCGGTACTCCATAAGCTCAACGAGCTTGAAATCAAATGAATTCGGGTAAATAATCAATTAAATTATTTACATTATATTTATTTAATTTTATTAAACATTTTGATGTTAGTTTGAAATTTAAATAATATTATACAGCTGAGTAGTGGATGATATATGACACATCTACTCCTGAATTACAACGATTAGCAATTAAAGTGCTTAGTCAAACAACTTTTACATCAAATTACAAACGAAACTGGAGTATATTCAACTATATTCACACCAAATCACGAAACAAGTTGAAGTAAAAAAAACTTGAAAAACTAGTGTTTATCTATTATAATATAAGACTTAAAATGAGGCATCAAAAAAGAATGAGCATTGATGATATAAACGCTAGTTACAATCCTATTAGCCTTGATTATATCTTTGAAGATGTTGATCCACTATCAAAATGACTTCAAGAGAAAGAGAATACTTTGTTAGATGGTGAAAATGTCAGTTTGTTGCCTGTGGATACTTAAGATGATGAAATGAATGTTGATGATAATTCTCAACAATAAAATTTAGCTCATTCAAGTTCTAGTGCAATGCCAAGTCAGGGTGGTGATGGGCTCGATGGTAGTGGTTTAAGTCCAATTGATGACGATGATAGACAAAGTGGTGATGAAGGTGAAATTAGATCTTATGATCTATATAGAGAAGAATATGTTTATACCGGTAATGGACATTTTCATGATAGGTCAGAATTCAAAGGAAATATATATGTTGCATCTAGTAGAGAAAGAAATGACCCTATAGCTCGATCAAAAGGAAAATGACACTAAAAACATACTTTTGAAGGTTGTTCTTCCGGTAAGAGATAAACTTCTAGTAATCCTGGGTTTAGTGATTCATCTAATAGCACTCATAGTATTTATTCACAGGGACAATCTTCATACTTTCATGGTTATTATCCATCATTTTCTAACTATGGTGTGCCATATCAGCCTCAAATATACCCTCCACCATCAATGTATCACCCACCTCCACCTCACATGTATCCTCATTCTCAAATTTATCCTCCATCTCAACTATTTGAAAATCAAGGTGAAAGTGTTACATTTTTAGATATATTTTTTGAAAAAAGATCACAGAGATCAAGTGAAGAACACTATCAAAGTGAAGGCGAAGGATATGATCTTCCTCGTTATTCCACTGATTGGTGAAACTACTACTCATTTCTAAGGTATGTTTTTACCTATCAAAAGAATCCATTTCTCTATGCCATTTAGTTAGTTAACATTTTTTTAGATTTTAATTTACTTTGTTCGATTGGTTTCAAATTAACATCCATAATGAAGATTGTTGAACATCTTAACATAGTTAGATTGCATGAGGTATGTGTTATTTTAATTATTGTACATCATATTTTTTCTTTTTGATTTAATGAAGATTGTTTCTTTTGGTAATTCCGTGATTGGTATGTGTTGTTTTTCTTTAGTTATATATATATATATATATTATTCTTGAGTTTTTCTGTGAATGATAACTCTTTGATTAAATGGTAAAGAATCTCTTATCTCATAGTTATAACAAAATTTATCTTTATCCATTTTTAATTTTTAAAGATTTTCCCATGTTGTTAGTCTTATTTCTTTTAGTATTCAAATGTCATCATTAATTAATTATCTTATCCTATCACCGGATTTTTAAAGTCTTTTATATGGTTAAACTATATATATATGTCATTTGACTTAGAAACATTCTAAAAATCATTAAAAATGACTCTTCATAATTATAATTATAATTATTATGTTTTAGGATATGTTGTGCAAAATTTAAAAAAAATCACAATCGTGACACACGTAGTGACCGTGATGGCATCTGTATGTCTGCAACTGCGATAAACGTGACGCGACCTAAAAACAACCACAAATGCTATTTAAATCCCTGACCACCACCGCTTGAAGATTGCATGCTCAATTATTTTTTACCAGTATGGAAAACAAAACTTTTGACTATTTTAAAAAGTTGCAGAGGAAGGCTACTATGAACACGAGCCAAGCAATAAACAAAAGAATTTTCTCCTCTCCTATATGATCTGAAAATAGGTTTCTTTTGGAAGTAAAAAGACAAATGTAAGAGGATAGGAAAGACTTTTTTAAGAAGATTTTGTGCCAGATAAAGTGAAGATGGGGTAGAGCGGTCAACGTTCACTACAGCAAAACTGTACATTTGCGGTGTTTTTTTACCTATAGCGGTGTTTTTAAGCAACACAAAAAATGTATGCGGCACTACAAAAAATGTTACAAAAAGCGCCGAGAAAAGTAGCACCGCTAAAGTTCGTGACGTTTGTCAACAAAAAACGCTGCCATAGGTGTAGAGATATCGCGGCGTTTCTTGAATAAACGTCGCAATAGGTGTTGTGATTTAGCGGCGTTTTCCCCACAAACACCGCAAAAAGTATAGACATTTAACGTCATTTTTTGGGTACAAACGCCGCAAAAGGTCTGGTATATAGCGGCATTTTTCGGATACAAATGCGACAAAAGGTCTGGTATATAGCGGCGTTTTTTGTTACAAATGTCGGTATTGTTTTTTATATTTAACGACATTTTTTTACAAACAACACTAAAGAACACATAATTTAAACAATTTAAATATTTTCTTCGATTACCCCAAATCTATTTTTTTCAACCTGTTCCATTATCTAACAAACATGACATCAATAACACGAAACTCTATATCTATAACAACCAACATCAAATCCAGTATAATAAATAAAATTTTCATTAACGTAATATCAATTCAGTTAAACATTGTCCAGTAACATTAACAAAGCGTATAACATAAATGTGGCTAAGATGGTAGATTCTGAGGTTGCGTTTTTTGTAACATCTGCATCATAGCATCGAGTCATTTTTCAAATTCTTGATATTTCTGCTGATATGTTGCTTCTCTCTGTGATGCCGATGCTTCTCTCTCTGCTTCCCTCGCTTCATTTTCGGCTTTCATGTTAGCCATTTGTTGATACATTTCAGCCAACTTTTGTTTTAAACAACTAACTTCCAATTGGGAAGACTGAGATTGTAATGACATGTACTGAGATGAACTGGATCCAAAATATTTGGTGGGAGTAACGAATGATCCTTTACAATGCACCTGACCTTATCTTTCAGGACCCAAAACGCCATTAGTAGCTTGGTTTTCAATGTCATCCTCATTAACAAGATCTTGACTCGAAGCCGTAGCTTGATACTATGCCCTTTTCTCCCTCAATGTTTCCTAATAATAAAGTAAATAATTAATTCAAATAAAAATTTCATGCTACAGATATAAATAAAACATAATTCAAAACATGTATCAAATAAGCGTACCATAATTTTTGCAGCTTCAGCAGTCATAGGAGTGTCATTCTTCTTTGTATGTGTCATATCGAAGAGTTTGATTCGGCCAACTTTAGAACTAGATGTATTTTCTTACAATGTACCATAATATACTTAGTTTGAGTTAGTATGTACATGGAATACAAATAACTATGTGAATAATCTATAATACCTCCTCATTAGCTATACAAGCAAAGCTCTTCGATCCAGCCGTGTGTGTAAACTTCTGTTGTTGCCTGCTAGCAGTACCAACATGTTCTCGGTCCTACAATTTCAAACAACCACTTTTAATGATGATTTATAATTTGTTAAAATTATTTTTGAAAAATACACCATACATGTCCTTTTTGTGAACTCCAAAAATATGACAATATCTTTTCATTAGTACCTGAGCATTCCAGGTGGGACAGTTTGTAGCTTCTCTTCAAGGCTGATATCATTCTTGAAGTATTTCTTTTTTAAATGTGCTCTTGTGGTCTCTCCATCTCTTCCCTAACGCTTGCTTCACATAATCTTCAGAGACCTCTAAAGAACATTTCTCCTACACAGCAAATAAGTGTTCAACGTAAGTATAAATTAGTATTGAACTTTTATAAAGTATCTATTATAATGACATTATTACCTTAACAAAATCCAACGCCTGATTTTTGTTACTATTAGACATTTTGCGCCATGACTCATAATTGATCGGTAAAAGATTAGCATTACGTCCAACTATGCCTAAGTAACCGGATAGAAGACGTGCTTCTAGGCCAATAGGTTGACCGACATCGTTTCTTGAAACTTTGACACGGTGCCCAAGAGGAAGTTGGTATAATTCCTTCAACGTTGTACGTCCTCTACTCTTGCGTGTTCCAGCATTTTCAACTATATAAGAAATTATTAAATGTAAGTTTTGAAAATGAACAAACTATTAAATAAAGTTTCAAAGATTACGTTAAATTTCTACAGCTTCTTCAATAGTTATAGGAACTTCGGAAGAGTCAGCAACATTCGATTCCTCATTATTTGTTTGTTCATGCTCTTTAGAAGCTCGAACAACCCGTAAATCACTTATTTTTCTCCTCGGCATGATATCCGTAATAAACAAACATTTGTAATAAGAAAACGATTTAATTAATGAGTATATTGAAAGACAACATGTTAAAAGTTATAACATTATAAATAAATAAATAAAGATATAAAATCTTACGACATTCTTATGTAATGTTAGTTGTCATAAATATCTTCATCAACGTCCTCCCGAACCCATTGAAATTGTGTTGTATTACTGATAGTTTCATCTAAGTTTTGTGTGCTACTATAGGTAAACATTATGATCTTGTTTCAATGTTATCTCTACTTCCATCCCTGATGTTTATCAAGTCTCTAGGAGTATTATGAAGCACAACTTTCCAACTGTCATCCATTGGACCGTGACAGTAAAATACTTGTTTCACTTGAGAAGAAATACATATGGATCATCCATCAATCGTTGACTAGTGTGAATTAATCGAGAGAAATTCACCATTGTAAACCCGAATTTATCGCTTTTTATGCCTCTGTTTACATCAACCCAATCACACTGAAACAACACAACCTTTCGTTTTCCATAATAATCTAACTCAATAATGTCCGTAAGAATTCCATAATAATCAACATCTCCCTCATGCGGATTATTGTCCCTGACACTAGCATAACTGGTAGTTGAAGAAGTAATTACGATTCCAGAATTTTGTGTCCTCCTATCTTTCACGAGATTTCGTGTAGACCTGAACCCATTAATGAGGAAGGTATTATATCTTTTAACTATTCTATTCGGACCTTGAGAAAGCTATTTAACATCTTCACTAACTTCTCTCCCACTCCAAACCTATTACACATGAATGGTGCATATATAAGGGTTAATTTTGATATAAAAAGCAAGACATATACTAGCTATTAGTATGTGTAATGATTTAGTTGCTTATCGTCTGGCCTAACCATTCATGAAACGTTTCTATGAATAACTTATGTATCTCTCACTGATGTAATCTTCGAGAGCGTGCACGAGCAAGAATTCTTTACAATCACTATAAAGTATATAATGTTGTTAAAGAATGATAAATATAAAAGATTAAGAAATTTCATTAGTATTGGGTCTGAAAGACTTACGTGCGAAAGGGATCTATTAAATCGTGATGGAAAAGAACATATCGGTGTGCTTGTACCGAAGATGTGTCATCTAAGTGTGTGATTTCAACTTTCCCTATTGGTTGCCTATAACTTCCAAACAAATAATCTTGAGGTAAGTCATGAGTACTGAACACATCATTTCTATTTGATCTATTCCATCTTGTTTCAATATCTTCCAAATATCTAGAGTAAAATGTCATACATTCCTCTGCCAAATACCCTTCAGCAATTTTTCCTTCCGGATAACGCTTATTACGACAGTAAGACTTCAACTTACCCAATAGCCTATACAGAAAACAATGTACAATGTAAATACATTTAATTAAAAGGTATTAATCAGTAGTCATTTGAAACGTATAATTCAATTAGCATCTATCTATAGGGTACATCTATCGATAGAAAACTGGTCCACTAACTCTTGCTTCATGAGGAAGATGAATTAGCAGATGCACCATAATTGTGAATAATGAAGGCAGAAATATCTTCTCCAAGTTGCATAAAGTCAAGGCAGCTCAATCTTGTAGTTTATCAAGTTCTTCAACCATCAGAACTTTCCCATAAATGGCTTTCATTATATTGGAAAGTTCAATGATACAAGACGTCACCTTACTCGACATGCAACCGCGTACAGCTACTGGCAATAAATCTTGCATTAATATGTGATAATCATGTGACTTTAAAGAATAAAGTCTTCGATCTTTAACACTGACACATCGAGATACATTTTATGCATACCCATCTTTTATATCCTTCAAGACCGTGCAAAACACTTCTTTTTCTTTCTTCAAAAGAGAAAAATAGAAGGCGACAAGAAATATTTTCCATTAGGATGTAATTGCAGATGAAGATCATGCTGAATTCCTATGTCGACTAAGTCAAGTCAACTCTTGAGATTATCTTTAGATTTTCTGCCATCATTCAAAATGGTCCGGATAATATTCTCACAAACATTCTTCTCAATATGCATTACATCCATATTATGTCTGAAAATATGATTCTTCCAATAAGGCAACTCGAAGAATATACTCCTCTTTTTCCACAAGTCTACCTCATTCGGATCATCCTCTTCATCAGACTCATTATCACTCTGTTGGTCAACTTCAAGCTCTTTATTAACCTGCTTTGCCTTTTTCTTTGATTGTGTACTACTTGGTTGATTTATCTTTCCATAAGAAAAATTGATATTTTTCAACATGGAGAATATTTCAGAGCCGATTGTTTGGTCAGGAGCATTTCAAAACTCTTTATCACCATCAAACACATTCTTTTGACATCTAAATCTATGATTATTAGGAAACCACCGACGATGTCCCATATAAGAGAACTTCTTTCCATTAATCAACCACTTCGAACATGTTTGTGCAGCACAACAAGGACAAGCATAACAATCTTTAGTACTCCAACCAGATAAATTTGCATACGCAGGAAAATCATTAATTGTTTATAATAAAGTCGCGCGTAAATTAAAGTTCTTCTTCTTAAACACATCATATATTTCGACCCCTTCCCATAACTTTTTCAACTCTGCAATTAGCGGCTACATGTAGATATCAATATCATTTTCGGGGCCTTTCTCACCAGGGATTATCATGGATAAGATGAAAGATGATTGTTTCATGCAAATTCACGGAGGTAAATTGTATGGAACAAGTATAACATGCCATGTACTATAAGAAGTACTCATGATTTTGAATGGATTAAACCCATAAGTTGCAAGACCGAGCCTGACATTTCGAGGATCTCTCGCAAAACTTGGATACTTTTTGTCAAATGACTTCCAAGGTAAAGAATCCACAGGATGCCGTAATAATCCGTCATCGGTTCTGCCATCATGATGCCACCTCATAGACTCAGCAGTCTTGGAGCACATAAACAATCTTTGTAGCCTATGAATGAGAGGAAAATATCGCATAATCTTTACTAGTTTCTTTCTTGATCGTGCTTGAGCTTCATCCTCAGTAACATTTTCTGCGTCCCTAGTTATCCATCGAGATTTTTCGCATACATGACAAGACTCCTGATTTTTTTGATCACCCCAATACAACATACAATCATTCGGACAACTATGAATTTTTTCATATCCAAGACCCATATTTTTTTATCATTTTCTTCATATCTTTGCATGATTGATGGTTTTTTGCAAAAGGAAACACTTCTCCTAGTAACTCCAACAATTGCGTAAAAGAGTTACTAGTCCACCCTCCCAGGCATTTTAAGTGGAAAAGACGAATGCAGAAAGAAAACTTTGAAAACTTTGATCCCTTATAAAGTTGTTCATTCATTTCATTCAGCAACTTGTAGAACTTTTCCGCTTCTCCATTTGGCTCTTCATCACATCCAATTCTTGTCATCTCAATGAAATCATTAACATCATTCTGACAATAATTTTCTGTAACATACTGCTGATGATTGTGCATATTAAATGCATCTCGTAACATCCCTTCCATGTCATCTTCTCTAACAGTTGGATGGTGAGAAGGAGCAGGATAAGTCGAATAACTCGTGGAAGCAGATCTATCTGATATAAACTCTCCATGAAAGATTAGTTTTCTATACCCCTGAACAAATCCAAAACAACTAGATGCTCGTACACAACTTCACGAATGTGCCAATTAATGTTAAACACTTCTTACAAGGGCAAATAATCATATTATCTTGGCTTGCATTTAGAAAAGCTAAATTTAGAAAGTTTTCGACTCCATTTTGATATTCGACGCTTACCCTTGAGAAATCCATCCAAGTCTTACCCATTTTGTATTTCTAGAGTTTCAATTTCAAATGTTAAATGCTAATATTATAGCGAAAGTTAGAACCTAAACATAAGCATTAACTATAAGATTTAGTGCATAATAATGTTGCATAGTAAAAACTAATCACTCCTAAATTATAAAACTTTTAAATAGATGCAATTTTATGGAGCAAGTGTATCTCAGTTAATTTATAAAAATTATAACGAGAATTATATAATACTACATACTATAGAACTAAATACTTACACATAAAGCCTATGTTCCATGTGCGAAAGGTTCAAGAAATAAAGAAAAAGAATAGCCCAAAAGTATAACGGAGAGAAGATTACCTTTGTTTCCTGACAAACAACTTCCTCACAAACCTATTAAAATCGAGTTGTTCTACTCAATTAGCACCTACGAAGAGAGAAAATGATTATTGATTTAATAAATTCGCCCAAACATAAGTATGCATAACAGTATGGTTATTTCCAAAGATGTTCAACGCCCAATTTTATCAACAATGTTCTATATACCAATCAAACATTTTAAAATAGTAATGTTTAACGCCCAACTTTTTGTAGTTATTATTTTCAAGGACATTTAACTTGTATGTTGTTATCCTACGTTAATGTTCGACACATCTGGTTATGGGAAGAAGCGTTTAGGCTGAGAAGCAGTTTTAGTTTCAGTTTCACCATTTTAAGGTTCGAGAGGAAATATGAGAAAGCTTAAATTAAAAAGGCAACTATAAAATAAAATGAGAAGAAACCATGAGAGCAAACCCTTTTCTCCTTTAAAATTGGATGACTCGCCCGAAACACAAAACAACATCCAAACAGACTGCATATGAAATGTTACGCACTCGAAGAAGATGCTATAGCTTATCAACAATGACGAGGCATCTATTTCTGATATATTTTTAACCATGCTAAATGACATTCAAAGAATTTGCAGTATACCATTTTCAGCTCAACAGTTTCCTTCATGATAGAAGCTTAACGTTGGGCATGCCTTGAATGTCAAGCTCTTTCTGAATTGCCATAGAAACCAAACCAACAAAATGTAGAAAAATGGTTATGGTAGATCATAAATATGACCACAAACTAACATTATAGCAAGATATATCTGTATCGCTTAAAATATAAGGAAATTAAAGTGTTCAAGTGAACACACATTTCATTGTTGCTCTTGAATATCAGGATTTTTAAAATGGAAGATTCAATTATTCTTTCTAAAGCTTTCAACCGCAATGTTTGAAGATATATTAAATAGCAATCTCTCTAACTCACAACAAATGAGCATTTCATAAGTTTTAAGAACTGCAAAATGCATATTGCTAGACTAACTTGTTATAAATGGCAATCAATTATGTTAGAGTATACCCAAAGACCAATCATATGATGATTGTAATAATACTTTTATTTACTGATTTTATTGAATAAAGGCATTGCCGTTATTATTTTCATTATATATATGTGTTTAACATAAAGAAGATAATAAAGTCCATATAATGACATAATTGTTATTATTAAAAGATCCCTAGTCAAGTTTATTATGGGCATGGACAATAATAATACTGCTAATAATACTAACATGTTATTTATTGATGACAATGAGTTGTCATTGACATAGAGATGTCAGAATTGATACACGATTAGATTGTTAGAGAACAATGTATTGGATTGACCGACCATATGCATATGTCTTGGATTATTATGTGACAGTCATAACATTGCTCATGGTGATGACTATATGTATGATCCTCAGAGTTGAGATCAATACTATCCCCAACATATATTGTTGTATGTTTGATGCAACTAAACAAGCTCCGTAACTGGTTGCTCTATAAAGACTGTTATTGAATATATCTCAATATATAAGTGGTGTGTATGTTAAGATAGGATTTGTCCTTCCTACATAATAGGAAATATATCACAGACCACTTGATGAGTAAGACTAGAACACATGGTCATGCTCGAATAAGTTGATATGAGATATCAAAACTATTCGTTAATTAAAGTCTACTCTAGATATTAAAAACAATAGATGGGCTATACAAGTGTGACTATTCCAAGACTTGTGCCTATTCTAGATATAAAGGACATAGGATGTAATACATAAAAGAGTAATCACCAAGATGATATGCCGAATCATATTTGTTGTAACTTAGGTGACAATGATATATTGCTAGATGTCACTCATTGTTTGTAATATTAGAATTGTTCTAATAATTACTGCTAACTATAAGAACCTACAAGGTCACACCCTAGGATTGAAACGAGCAAAGATGTACAATTTGTTGTACGTTACTAAATTATATATCTAAAGTTAATTAAATATATGTTTTAATAATCCCGAATATTTAATTTCAATTAATTAAATATAGATTTAATTAATTTGAAATAATAAAATCCCCAATATGATTAGTGTAACTTGGATATAAGAGGATTATTAAATTCCATTAATTAAATATAGATTTAATTAATTTGAAATAATAAAACCCTATATGATTAGAGTAACTTGGCTATAAAAGGAGGTTAGGTCTAGCAGCCGTTTTTTGCAACACACCACAACCCTTCAGCCGTTTTCTCTCAAAACAGTTTGGGAAAAACAAATTGCTCTCAGTCGGTGAACTGAGTAGAGGCCGAGACGTGATTTCGTGGAGGCTTTCGATTCGAATCGATCTACACCACCGTATTCACTGCTGTTCTTGTTGTTTCAAGGAACCACTGTAAGTATTCGCATCTCTTCCTCCCGATTTTTCGTTTTTTTCGTACTTGGATCGCTGGTGAGACCGTCAAGTTTTGTTTCCGCTGTGCCATGGGTGCGCCTATGCTCCCAACAACAAATGATGCTTCCAGTTTTCAATTTCTTTTAAAGAAAAAAAACAAAAAGGAATTGATATGTTTCAAGGAAGGACAGATACATACCTAGCAGCGCGTAAATTGCTGCTACAGAACCCTGTCACAAAGATACATGAGCATTTTATGGGTTTTAACTGATATAATTAACTTGTTACAAGTGAGGATAATGATGACATTGGACCACCTTACGAGATATCAAACATGCTTCGAATATTGCTCAAGCTAGTGTAATAATAAGAATACCCTTCTTTTAGCTAGTACATATACTATTAAAACTTATATATCATAAAAGGAACCTGAGTCTTACCACACCATAACCAAGAACCTGCACTGGAGATGGACTAATTCTTCTAAGATTGCCTCAGCTTCCTGGATGAACACAAGTTAAAATTTGTTACATAATGAAAAAATAAAAAAAAGCAGTGAAAGTATTTTTTATTCAAACCATTCATGGATGACATATTTGGAAATCCTAGATCAGTAATAATTTGGCTTGGAAGTGTCTTATATTAAGGGTGGGATTGTAGCAGTAGCGAATCAGATTTAAGGATAGATGTTTAACAGGATATGGATATCCTAGCTGTTTGTTTATCTATTTTGTCATTTCTCCATCACATGGTGGGGATGTGTTAGTTGTAACTATTCGATGTGGTTCTTTAAACATCAGCTCTAAAATAGCTATTTTACTTGGTAGCAGTAACATCGAAGATTGAAGATGAAATGCAACGAAACTACCTAAATCAATCACATTAGCGTAAACTGCATAAGAAATTGTGATTGTGTTCCATGATTGAGTGATTAACGGAAAGAATCATGATCTTCAATTATAAACATCAAGCTTTCTCTCCCAAGTGGATTTTCTCATCGAACCTAATACACAGACAGCTAAAACAAAATTAAACCTCTCGGGATTGAACACCATTTTTCTTTACTGTCTCTACATGTACTTTGAACAAAACCGGAGCAACTCAGAGTAAAGAATCCCACGAATTCCTTTAAGCTATGTTAAGTTGAGGCACTCCATTTTGCCTCAAACATTTGACTGGCATGTGAAAATAAAATGAAACTAAACTAAATTATATCAAACATAACAAATGCTTTGAAAGATTAAACACAAAAACAAGCAGCCCATTTTTGAACACCAACCATTACACCTTATTCACAATGGGAAGCATAATAATCCCAGAAGTACCTTATTTTTTTATTTTTTCTCGGGTCAGGCGTTGTGCATGTCGAACGTACTGGAAACTAAGTAATGATGGCTTCCAAAAAAAACCCTTCAACAATCGAACGATGGAGGTGTAACCTTGGATGTGTGGACATCTTCGACAATCGACGAGCATCAAGTAGTACTCTCTATCGACGGATGAAAACGATGTGAGGCAGAGATTTACTGGCTGAAATGATGTTAGGGCTTGGGATCGTGTTAATTTGGGGTTTTAATAAAAATTTGCGGTGTGTTTCAAATTCACTCTATAGTTATACTCTATCGCGACGTTTGTTATAAAGTCACTACTATCCAAATCTTTTGCGGCGTTTGTGTTTGAAACGTCGCTAAAGTACAAATATGTTGTGACGTTTGCTGAAAAGCGCCACTATATATTACACCTATTGCGGCGTTTGTATAAAAAAATGTTGCTAACATACTATCTATATCGTGTTTTTATAAATGCCACTACTGTCCAAATCTTTTGCGGCGTATGTGTTCAAAATGCCACTAAGTATGACTTTCGCGGCGTTTTTATAAAAACGCTGCTAAAGTACAAATGTTGCGGCGTTTGTTGAAAAAACGCACTATATGTTACACCTATTGCGGCGTTTGTATAAAAACGCCGCAATGTACTATTCTATAGCGGTGTTTGTTATAAACGCCACTATAGATTAACCATATTGCGGCTGTTTTAGATATAAACGCCGCAAAAGTCAGGTATATAGTGGCGTTTTTGAAAACGCCACTAAATACCTTTATTTATATAAGATTAATTTATTTTAAATATTTCATTTCTGCTCTACATAAACTAAATTTACTATCATGTACTTTTATCTAATTAACAACAACCATACATTTTAATTAAGGAAAAAGTTATGCATAAAAATACTTAACAACAAAATACATTATAATTTAGAAACATTGAAGTTATGCATAAACAATCTTCACCATATTGTTCACTAGAATTTAGTCTTCATTTATCCTTCGTGGGGAAATGACGTAGGAAAGTTGTTTTCCTTGTTTGATGATGTATCGTTAAGTTTTTCCTCCGTGTAAACTCTATATGGAGAAACTCTTCATCCATTTCACCAAATAAGTCCCCAACCTCCGGTCACCAAGAAGACTCCTTGCGCGCTTCAGTGCTTCACTTGAAACAGATAACGACCTTCCACCTACAGAATGAAACTTGATTGGAGGTGGCTTGGGAACTGAATCAAACATTAAAAAAATTTAAATAGATGATAGAAACGTTTACTTGGAGTAACAGTAGAGGCAACGTCGTCTTCATTGAGGATATATAATGCTTTTGCAATTGAATATTTTTTCAACGCACAGTTACCAAATTCGGTTCTAAAAATTGGGTATTTATCCACTTCTATCATCGTTCTCAATAAGCTTCGAACATCCTACAAGCGTACGATCTATGAAATTTGAGAGTACAAAATAAAAATATAGCGACAAAAACTGTTAGTGATTATTACCTTGAAGTAGGAGATCGTCCATGGAAGGGTATGGAGCAATAGGAGTTCCTTTCGGGTGATCATCGATTTTCGACGGCAAGTACGGACCAATAGCCCCCAACGATAATTTGATCCATCGTCAGAGCAATATGCCACATGGACATTCCGACGATAATTTCTCTTACTCAAGGCAACACCTGCTCTTTGTACCACAACCATTTGTTCATGTTTTCAAAAGCTATTATTTCCTATTCGAAAGCTATATTTTTCTATTCGAAAGCAGAAAAACACTACTCCGAAGAAGTAAACCAGTAAAACACTATGTATATATGTTTTCCTATTCAAAAGCTATTATTTTTCTCCATTACGTTAGTTTTATGGGTTTTCCCCATTTTAATAATACAAACAAAAAATAAATGAAAAGTTCAGTACTGAGAGAAGGGATCAAACCGCAATCGTGAGATAACTATTTGCCGGTAAGAGGGCCGATTTGGTCGCCAGGATAGACAAAGACGACGTCGTCTGGAATCGTGTGAGGGCCGTTGTTGTACCAGAGAAATCCCTTTTGAAGATAACAATGTTGAAATGATTTTAGGGATCGGGCAGGAGAAATGGTAGAGCATATATTTACCCTTTTGTGTGTATTTTTAAACAAACGCCACTATACATGTTTTTGCGACATTTTTATAAAAAAAGCCACTATTGATGAACTCGATTGTGGCGTTTTTCTAAAATGCCACTATAAACAACCATATTGCGGCGTTTTAACAAACGCCACAATTACTACTCTATAGCGGCGTTTGTGCCCTATAAACACACTATTGCGGTGTTTGTTTGATAAACGCGCTAAATTACTACTCTATAGCATCGTTTGTGGACAAATGCCACTATAAACTACCATGTTGCGGTATTTGTATAAAAACGCCGCTAAAATACTAATCTATTGTGGCGTTTGTTGAAAAAAGCCACTATAAATAACTCTATTCTGGCGTTTGTGCTACAAACGCCGCTAAATTATCACTCTATTGTGGCGTTTGTTGGAAAAACGCCGCTAAAGTATCATTTTGTGGCATTTGGATTGTAAACACCGCTATATGTTTAAATTTTGTGGTGTTTACTCTCCAAACGCCACTAAAAACCCGCTACAGAACACTTTTGATGTAGTGGTTGTTACCAAATAAGCAATTAACAACAATGTAAGATTTTCATTACTCACGTTATGACAATTAATGTCGAATGATCGATTTTTTATAAGTCGATAACATTAATTCAATATGTTTGTTTTGAAACTTCAATAAGAAAAACAAAAATTTATTCAAAGATTAGTAAACATTTGTGCTTTACCCTATTATTTAGGGTAAAACATATAAATGGTCACTAAGCTATGTTAAATTATATTTTTTGTCATTAAAATTTCAGAAGTTATAAATAATGATAAAACTTACAAAATATTTATAAAATTATCATTAAATATTGTCAAACTATCATAAAATATTCATTAAACTTATCAAACTACTACAAAATGGTCCTTAAACTTATCAAAATTTATTAGTATTTTATAACGTGTAGTGATCATTTTATATCCGTTAATAAGTTTGATGACTATTTTGTAACTTTCAAAATTTTCACTAATTTTTTGTTATTTTAGTTTAGTGATCATTTGTATACTTTACCTTATTATTTAAAAATATTATAATTTCAGAATTCTTTCTCAATCAAGGTTTATCTTTTGAGATAATTGCACCACATTTTCTTAAACTATTATCCTCATTCTAAATTGATATTTAAGCTTTTGAACATTCTAATTTCATCTTTAAATTTTGATTCTTATTCTAATTTGGTCTCAAACTATTAAAAATTTTAATTTCATCCTTGATCTATTACTTTTATTCTAAATTGGTTTATAAACTTTTGAATGCTTCAATTTCATCATCAAACTATCAATATATAATAATCATGTCACATATTAATAAAGTCATTATAAAAGTTGTTAAATATTATGTAAACATTAATGTGTATTATATAAAAATATTTTTTTGACAAATTCTAAATCTAATCCTAATTCTACTTAGAGGAGTAGGGAATGAGGGCTCTAGGGAATGAATGAGAGTGCTCGTAGTGGGTCTAGAGCTCATGACCTAAGAGAATATAAGGGAACAAAGATTAGCAGCTTGACCAACTAACCAAATTTACTTGTTCGTATTATATGATAATATAATATGGTATAAATTGTTGAAAAATATATCATGGTATAAATTATAATTATTGAGTTTAAATAAAACAATAAATTAAATTTAAAATGTATAAAGAATTATTAACAAATTGAGAGAAGAAAAAAAAACAAAAAAATGTCAATTTCATTCTAAATAATTACTTTAAATGTGTGATACACGTTATTTATCGTTTATGTTATATCATTTACCTAATATACTTGTATATTTTTGTGTCACTCTTGTAAACATAAATGCTTCAAGTGCCAAATATTTAATATAAATAGTGTGTGTTGACATGTCTTTGTATAATATGTTTGCATTTTATTGTACCTTTATTGGTTTTTCCATTGTGTTTAAATATTGTAGGTTTGATCTTGATGTTTTAGATCAATTTTAAAATTACGTTTGTGTGAGAAATAACTCGGTTTCCCCAATTGGTATCAGAGCCAGTTAAGGTTATCTCGATAGTCCCATTGTTGAAAATATCAAGTTCGTATTAAAAATGACATAATACGAATCAGTTAAGACATCAGCTCTCATCCTGACCGGTGAAATGGTGAGTCAAATGCAAACTTCTCAGTGGAATTGTTGATGGATCTAGTCATTTCGACATGTGGCAAGACGAAGTGTTAGATGCTTTATTCCAGCAAGGCCTAGACATCGTCATTGAGGAAGAGAAACCCACATATATAGAGGAGAAAGAATGAGGAGCAATTAATCGTTTGCATGCACGATTCGATCTCGTCTTTCTATGGCAGAGTATGACTACAAGAATGAGACTTCTTCAAGTAAGTTATGGAAAGTATTGAAGGAAAATTCTTTAAAAACACTCAAAATCGTCTCTACATGAAAAAATTGTTCAGATTTGATTATCAACCAGACATCGATATGAATAAACACATCACAACCTTAAATGAACTAATGGCAGATTTATTGGGCACAGATGAAACCTTTAAATATGAAGATTTGGCTTTAATGTTGTTTTCATCTCTTCCAGATGAATTTGAGCACCTGAGACGACATGACTTCATGGTAAGGATAAAATTACCTTTAAAGATTAATTGTGCTTTGTATAGTATGAGCTCATGAAGAAAACTAAGAAAGAGAAAAAAAAAAAGCAATGGAGACCATGGTGGCAAGAGGTCACTCAAAAAGCTAAATGCCAAAAAGGAGAGTGAGATCAAAGTCAGAATCTAAACTGGGAAAAGATGAATGTACCTTTTGTCATGAGAAATTCCATTGGAAGAAAGATTACCCGAAGCTGAAGAAGAAATGAAACCTACTCCATATGCATGTGTTACAAAGCATGATGTTAGTTAATCTGACATATCATTGGTTGCTTCATCATCAACATTCATTTAGATGAGTAAATATTATATTCATGTTGCCTTATCATATGTCCTCTAATCGAAAGTCATTCTCCTTGTCATGGAAATTCCATTGGAAGAAAGATTACCGAAGCTGAAGAAGAAAAAACCTACTCCATATGCATGTGTTACAAAGCATGATGTTAGTTAATCTGACATATCATTGGTTGCTTCATCATCAACATTCCATTTAGATGAGTAAATATTATATTCATGTTGCACTTATCATATGTCCTCTAATCGAAAGTCATTCTCCAATTTAGTAGAACTAAATGCATGAGTTATTTATATGTGCAATGACAATGCTTGTAAACTGTTGGGATATGTTTAATTCGACTGAAGAATCAATAGGATCAACTAGAGGTGACTGATATATCCATACGTGCTCAGTTTGAAGAAAATCTCATATCGTTGGGAGCTTTGGAATCCAAAGGCTCAGTGTTATTATGAGGGATGAAGTTTTGAAAGTCACATCTGGCGTACTTATGATTATGAAAGCATTAGGAAAACTAATTTGTATTACTAACAAGGTAGTACAATTATTGGAGTTTGCAAGCAATTTTGGTGGTGACAATTTGGACACAACCCATTGTGGCATATGTAGTTGGGACATGCTGAAGAGAATCCTTGCAAATTCTGGCAAATCAAGGGTTGTTAAAAGGTAAAAAAGGCTTGCAAATTGAAATTTTACAAGCATTTTGTCTAGGAAAGCAGAAAAGAGTGAAGTTTGGCACCACAATCCATAATACGAAAGGTATTTGGATTATAATCACTTAGATGTATGGGGTCCTACTAAGACATGTCTTTGGAGGAAAACATTATTTGTAACTCTGTGATGACTTTCAAATATTTGGGTGTATCCATGAAGTCTAAAGATGAAGTGCTTCAATTTCCTTAAATGGAAAATATGATCGAGAACAGACTGATAGAAAGATCAAACGACTTAGGATAGACAATAGGAGAATATAGAAGTGATCATTCTTGACGCACCACAATAAATTTATCAATTATGACAAAATTTATGTATGACACTGCATATAACGTCACAAAATATACTATAAAGGTGACGTTTTTTGTGCTCATCACATTTAATTATTGATACTATATCTTTTATGACAATTTTAAAATTGTCATTACTTTTGTCAATATTTTTTTTGAGCCAAAATTTACCTCCAAAAAAATTGGTGGGAACCTTTCAACGACATTTAGATAAATGGTGATGTTGTAAATTATCTCTAATGAATTAAAGTATGTGCGACAATTTATTATTATGACGATCTGATTGAATTAACGACGTTGAAATTGTCACTAATAAGGTTTATTTGTGATATTTTCGCCATATTTACTAGACATAAAAGATGGCTTTATTCCACAAAAATAGGTTTAACATAAAGAAAATAATTATTTGTCACAATCTCTTGTCTTTTATATAGCAATTTTAAAGACAACATGAGATTTTGTCACTGTATATTTGGTGCCAATAATTAACATAAAAGTTTTTATGAAAAAAAATAGAGAAATCTTGCCCCTATTTTGAAATTTATAGTGATGATTTTCAAACTTATGTATTCTATATATTTATGTGTATACATATTAAGATTTTTTTGGTTAATATGTACATGTATATTATATGTATATGTATATATTTATGATCCTTTTACCATTAAAATATAATCTTTAGTTGATCATGCCATAGTCGAGTTCTAATAAGATAATCATATATGACACAAACCCATAATTCTGAAATTCATATTGAATCAGAAAATTTGTAAAGTTTTTATAATCAATTCATATTTTTTAGAAAATTTAAGCTATTTTGTGAGTTATAGACTGCTCTACGACTGAACCTTTGGTTTACCCTTTTGAATAAAAAAACTTTTAAATATATTTATGTACGTGTAAATTTATCCTTTTACCATTAAAAATAATCTTTAATTAATCATATCAAAATCGAGTGCTAATAAGATAATCATATGTCAAATACATA